TTTATCAAAAGCCCTTAAATGGTTGACCATGTTCTTTTGTTTTGTCTGTGGTGGGCATACATGCAGTCGGACAGAAGGAAGGATGGACGGACAGGCAGGCATCAGGCAGGCATCAGGCAGACAGGCAGACATGCAGACAGACAGAGAAGCTTCACTCTTTCAATGATATTTGAGTATAATTAAAACACGAGATTATAGAAAAAAACCTTGACAGTGTGTTAGTTTTAATTCACTTTTTGTGTAGCCTATTAATTTTATAATTATCAAATAAAATCTTAAACTGTCTAGTTGCTCTAATCTTCCGAGACTGAAGAACTGATGACGTAATAAACAATATTGTATCTGACTGCATTATGTGATTGTATGAATTTTTTTTGGTACTTTCCCAAGAAGAAAAAAAATTCCAAAACCCAACAATTGAAACGCCCATAAAATACCCAGTTAAGTTTAAGTTTAAGCCTTATGTTTTATTTTGCCGTTCAGTTCTCCCTCCAAAGCGTAGGTTATCTATGGGAAAATCCGGAGATTTTTTTTTTTACCCTTTCGACTGTAAGCTGGTGAAATGATGTTTTTTTTTTAGGTATTCCCAAACTTAATTAGGGGGTGGGTGGGTCTTGCGTGTGATGACTACGTGGGAGTTTTAGGGGTGTGAAAATTGGTTAAAATTTTGTGCTATCAGTTGTAGGGGGTAATATTTCATAATCATTTAATAATATTTTTGTTGTTGTAATTAGCCATATACTTTGATACTAAATAAAAGTCACCTATTTTTACAAGCTTTTATTTAACTCACTTCCTCTGTCGACAGTCTGTCGACATTCTTTCACACAGACACACAAACATCCACACACACAGACACACACACACACAGACATACGGACAAGATAGCAAAACTATGTTTTTCCGACTCAAGGAGCTGTAAAACGTCGAGATTTGTAAAAATCTCGATTTTTTTTTTGCACGATTACAAGAGTTCCTCTATACTTCGTATATACGAGAAAGTAAAAATAACTGCCTGTCCAAAATGGCCGACGTTTGTGTGACTAGGTGTCGACGCATGCGCAGACACATGCCTCAAGTTTTATTGACATGTGCTGCCACCTTCAAGTTGATATTGTAAGTTTTTCAATCCATCCTCGTACTAGCCCCCACTTATTTGAATCGTTTTCCTGAAAAACCGAACATCTCAGGCCTCAGCTTCTCGTATTTTCTATTCACTCCATTGTTGACATACCTGATGGCCAACCGCCATCTTTGGAGGAAAACCTATCTACAACCTGATTCAGTTCCTGGTTTGAGAATATTAATGCGCACACACATACACTTATTACACACAGCAGTGATCCTGTAAGAGTGAGTAACATTTTAGAAAGTTATTATTGTTTTATTGATCCGTTATTTAAGATCAACTATTTTTTAAGTTCGTAAAACTCAAAGCTTTTGTTAACATCGGGTATATTAAAATTATTTTGTAATATTTATAGTAGACAAATAGACACATTTTTTTTTAAATCCTAAAAATAAAGGATGAATAACAATATATTAACACAGTAATGCTGTTCTAGGAAAATTGCTTCACGAAAACACTCGGGTAAATATTTGTTAGAAGGATGAACTGTTTAACGCTTCCTGCACTTTTATTGACAGGTGAGTCACTGTTCATGTTTCTGAGCTAAGTTGTATTTGTTTCCTTCTCTTTGATGTAGTTTTATTAAGTACAGTTTAAAAATAAATTAACTCTATTTTTTTTTTAAAATTAGGAGTGAGCTAACCTTTCATTATTTTAACAAAGTTTATATTTACTTTAGTGAAGTGTTACACTAAACTCTAATGCGTAAATTAATCATTCAGTTCTGTTTGCAAACTTTTGTATTAGGCGGGAAAAGTCAAAAGTTTGTTGCCAGAAAGCATATTTTTCAAGCACAATTGAATATTTTATAAAATCTGTTAAATAGGTACAAAATTACTCTCGGTTTTATTAAGGCGAGAACTTTTCAGTCAAGTAATTATTCGTAATGCGACAGTAATTTATGGGACGGCTTGGCCTAGCGATAGGGCGCTAGACTGCTAAGCTGAAAGTCTCGAGTTCAAGTCACTAGAACGTCTCTGAGTCTACTCAGCTCTAATGGGTGCCTAAAGCAGGTTAGGGTAAACGAAAGCGGCTGATCACACTGTCTCTTTATTTGCCGAGGTCACTGAAACATGTGATATCTACTTCATCTTCCCTTATGTGTTTTAGGCATGAACGGGAAAAGTTATCAAACAGTAATTTTAGAAAACATTGATTTGGTTTAGTCGAGCCGTGGTGATCGAGGATGCTATATTATTATCTAGCCTTTTTCTTGTAAAAAAAAGTTGTTACTAATTGTTATACTTTCACTGGATAATATGTTAACTCAAGGTTAGGTAAAGGGCTATTTCTAAAAATATTTGAATTGATAAAATAAATGTAAATTATTTTCAACGGCTTATCCTGAATACACATGTATGAAAATGGTTTCCAAATGGCTTGAGTTTTAAAACAAGGAGCCACATTTTATTTTGCTTGCCAATGTTTTAAAATATAAAAAAGATACTATGATATATAGCAGGGAACCGGCTTTTGAAGTCTAGTGGAACTTCATAGAGTCATGTATTCGTATACTTCAGCTCAGTCCTAACTTAAACCCTAACACCAAATACAAAATAACCTTATATACAAACCCCTAGGATTTGATATAAATCTATCTTATTGAGAATTCGAGCTCTTTAGATATTTGTGTTGATCTAATGTACATATTATAATGTAATTTCTGCCGCTCCCCCCCCCCCCTCCTCCCCCATGTAGCTTTCTGTTTCATCCTTCTCGGCCATACGCCAGTCCGCTCAGGACGGACTTTCGTCGACAAGAAAATCATCGAAACAAAAGTTTACACAGACGTGGAGATGTATAAAAGGTAACCTAGAATCATTTTAGTTGACTGTACCAACACTTTAGACAAGGGAGTGGGTAGGTTTTAACGGGTTTAGAGAGGTGTTTAAAACGTTTAAGACACGAGGCTTTTGAAATCTGCCCAAAAACAATGTAATTTATATAAAAAATATAATTCATAAAAAACGTTTTAATAATATGTAATAATAAACTAAAAAGTAGAAAATAAATGATTTTCTTTAATTATATAATAACACACTACTATTTAAATAACTATAAAGAAAAGCGTGGGTCACTTGATTATCTATTGGAAATCAAATTATCAAATTTAATGTCAGATTGCATTGTCTTCGTGTCTTGACCCACATGCCAACTTTGAAACGAATCTGTCAGTTAGAAGTGCTCGAAATTCCGCTCGGGCGTTTCGATTTAGACATACAGACAGAGACAAGAAGATAAATAAGAGCTTGTAATAAAAGCTTTTAATAATAATAATTCAGTGTTACAGTTAAATGTTTTAAGTTATTTTTTTTTCAACACAAAAAAATTGTTTTTGTTAGATGGTATACAAGGGTCAGCGCATCAACAGCTGAGAAAAATAAAAAACAGCTCCACAACCTAACACAGAGCGCGATCAAAGAATACGTTTCTCTGTGTTTTCATCAGGTGAAGAGTTTTATGAAATTTTCAATGCTCCTTTAGTAGTTATTTCATTATTTATTAACCAAGAGAGTTTATCAACAGTAGAGAAAAAATTATATGTAATTTTTCATATACCCGACTAGGCGTAGCGGCCCCTCCCGGCGCCCGGGGACAAACTTTCAATTTGGCGCCCCCCCCCCCCTCCATATATTTTTTTTTATATTTACAATTTAAAACTGCAGCTAAAATGAGTTTTTTTCCAACTTATTTTGGCGCCCCTAGAGTCGGCGCCAGGTGACATATGTACCCCCCCCCCAGTTGCTACGCCCCTGTCTATCCGCACCTTAATCTATCAAGTGAGAAACAGAACAGCACCTGCTTCCAAAACGAAATACATCATGATGTCAGGCTTTTTATAACCACCAAAAACAAAACAAAAAGTTTGACAGCTCTTGATTTGTCCGTTCATGCGTAAATTGAGCTAATAGTAAGGACATTCGCCATTCGGGGTGAGATTTTAGGTGTTCTGCTACCTTCTCCAAGGCACTTCACTTGTTTTAATTGTTGTAGATTTTTATTACACCACACGAGCATTTGAAGTTACGCATTTCAACTCATACATCTAGACAGTCAGTTGACGACCTCAAGCGATCCCTTACCGGAAATATATCAGTAGTAATGTCGAATCAGCATTCTTTGTTTCCAGTGGTTGTTGTGTTGACAAATGCCTAGCACATTCATCCAATCACATTCACTATTTCTTACCACTTGTTAGCTTTAGTTTACCACTCGACTGTGTTGAGAAACTGAGAATTAAATCCGGCTTTAATGCCCAATGTGGAAACAGTGATTGTGTAATTGAGCTTAAAGTATGATTTTAAAGCTCCGATAAAGAACTTAAAGCATGATTTTAAAAATACGCTATGGAGCTTGAAGTATGATATTAAAGCTACAATATAGAGCTTAAAGTATGATTTTAAAGCTCCGATAAAGAACTTAAAGCATGATTTTAGAACTACGATATGGAGCTTGAAGTGTGATATTAAAGCTACAATATAGCGCTTAAAGTATGATTTTAAAGTTAAGATACGTTTTCATAGGACAGCTGAACAAAAATCTTAAGGTTAATATTTTAAAGTATATCTTCTCAGATACGGTAATCTCTACAGATTTTGCAATAAAATGCTATGTTTCTCCGACTTTCGAAAGAGACTAGGTTTCAGAGTTTCTTCCAGGCATCTCTTCGAAAAAATTTTACCGCCCCCCCCCCCGAACGAAATGAAATTTATATAATTTATATAGAAAATATATACTTTTAACAGTGTCCGCACCCCCGAAGAAAGTTTACCGCCTTCCCCCCCCCCCCCCCCCGAAGATTTTAAGTGCCCCCCCCCCCCCCCCCCGGAGAAAAAAGTCTGGAAGAAACACTGCTAGGTTTAGCAGTGAGGTTCTGAAATGATTTAACTTGTAACATCCAGATCTGTCACATTCATTACTTTAAACAAAACATTGACTTAAGTTGTCATGCAAATGCTAGACTCAGACCCATCCCATTCATTACTTTAAACAAAACATTGAATTATGTTCTTAGGCCAATGCTAGACTCAGCACATTGTACCCTACTTTACCTCACATAGTGGAACTACGGCTCGTGGCTATGGAATTTAATTATGTAAGTCTGATTTTAGTTACGTAATTAAATTTATCATTTATATTTTGAGTTTAATTCCAGTTACCTGTGTGTATTTAGTCTAATTGTAATTATTTAAGTAAATAAAATTTACACTGTATTACTAAATTTAATGGTCTGGTTTACAATTTAAAAGATGGAACAATGTAAGTTTAAAATTTAAGTCAGCAAATATTCGTTTTGGAACAATATTTGAACATGATCTCATTATTTTATCGAAACCTTCAGGCTATGTTCGATGATTCGGGGCTCACAGATATCGATGAGAAGCATCACATATTTAAAAAATTCTTACAAGAAATCCACAAAGTGAATGGAATGTATGACCACACTATGCTCATGACCTCGTAAGTTTCAGAGAAAAAATACTAAGAAATGTATGCATCAGAGGCGTAGCGAGGGGGGGGGGAGCGGGGGGTGCGGACCGCACCGGGTGACACCATCTAGGGGGGTGACACAAAGGCAGAAAAATAGCAAAATATATAGAGAAAAACTTGAAGGGGGGGGGGGTGCAAATCGAAAGTTCGAGGGGGGGGGGGTGGAAATCGAAAATGTGAAAGTTTGTCCCCGGGAAGGGTCGCTACGCTTCTGGGGGGTGGGGGGGGGGGGGTGACACCATTAAGTGCCGCACCGGGTGACACCCGACCTCGCTACGCCACTGGTATGCATCACAAATACTTACAGTTCACTATTAAAATACTTTATTGCTAGAAGATTGAAACTACTTGTAAAAAAAAAATATTACCATCTCAACTCTCAACTGACTTCTGAGTTGTATGCTAAAAAATACATTTTTACTAATGTTCTTTATTATGAAAAAAACACATCTCGGGAAAAATAAAACTAGATATTGTCTATACTTACTAGCTAGAGGTATCTGGAACTTGTTCATGATTGACAGCTACTGTATTTATTTATCTTCACATTAGGACTAAAACGCCATTAGCATATATATTATAGTGTAGTATCGAAATATTATTTTTTGATGGAATCGTTGTTAGGTTTAGAGGTTAGAAATAAGTTAAACGTTGGAGCTAGTGACGGGGATGGGGCAGGTGTCGGCAACCTTTTGAGATGGAAGAGCCAGAAGTTACAATTTACCAAATTTTTTTTTTTTAAAGAGACACACATACTTTTATGCATTTCGGTAGTGGAAGGCATAGAACCATTTCCACGGGGCTGGCCACATCAAAGTTGTAGGGCTGGCCACAGCACAGTTGTGGGGCTGGCCACAGCACAGTTGTGGGGCTGGCCACAGCACAGTTGTGGGGCTGGCCACAGCACAGTTGTGGGGCTGGCCACAGCACAGTTGTGGGGCTGGCCACAGCACAGTTGTGGGGCTGGCCACAGCACAGTTGTGGGGCGGGCCACAGCACAGTTGTGGGGCTGGCCACAGCACAGTTGTGGGGCTGGCCACAGCACAGTTGTGGGGCTGACCACAGCACAGTTGTGGGGCTGACCACAGCACAGTTGTGGGGCTGGCCACAGCACAGTTGTGGGGCTGACCACAGCACAGTTGTGGGGCTGACCACAGCACAGTTGTGGGGCTGGCCACAGCACAGTTGTGGGGCTGGCCACAGCACAGTTGTGGGGCTGGCCACAGCACAGTTGTGGGGCTGGCCACAGCACAGTTGTGGGGCTGGCCACAGCACAGTTGTGGGGCTGACAGTTGTGGGGCTGGCCACAGCACAGTCGTGGGGCTGGCCACAGCACAGTCGTGGGGCTGTCCACAGCACAGTCGTGGGGCTGGCCACAGCACAGTCGTGGGGCTGACAGTTGTGGGGCTGGCCACAGCACAGTTGTGGGGCTGGCCACAGCACAGTCGTGGGGCTGGCCACAGCACAGTCGTGGGGCTGGCCACAGCACAGTTGTGGGGCTGGCCACAGCACAGTTGTGGGGCTGACAGTTGTGGGGCTGGCCACAGCACAGTCGTGGGGCTGGCCACAGCACAGTCGTGGGGCTGTCCACAGCACAGTTGTGGGGCTGGCCACAGCACAGTCGTGGGGCTGACAGTTGTGGGGCTGGCCACAGCACAGTTGTGGGGCTGGCCACAGCACAGTTGTGGGGCTGGGCCTAATGCCCAGAGATTCTTCCAGGCATTTTCGAGAGCGCCCCCTCCCCTTCCCAGGAGGGGGTCTACCGATCGAAATTTACATAGACAATATATACTTTTAACAGTGTCCGGCCTTCCAGGGAGAAAAAATCTGGTAGAAACAATGCTAATGCCCTGCGGCTGTCAAATTTCCATATATACTCTACTCCAACTATTCTCATTGGGTTTTTTGTTTAAAGTTGTTTTTGTTTTTACAGTATAACATTGTATGAGTTTTGAAAAAATAAGAATATAATTATGGAACTTGAGAGCCGCATTTTGACATAAAAGGAGCCGCATGCGGCTCGCGACCCCTCGCCGACCCCTTTTCTAGAATCTCGCCGACCCCTTTTCTAGAATCTCACCGCATAGTTCCCAAGGTCCTGTCCTCTGTAGTTTGTTAGTACATTTAGGTCGTTACCGTTCACCTTTCCACGATTTGGCTGGCCTGATGTTTGAATTTGTCACGTCCACTGTGTTAAGTCGTTTATTTGTCCTTCCCTACAGTATCGTCGAAGTCATCTCTTAGTCAGGTGTACTGTGTTCGTTGGGCTCATGTCGTCGTTGGTTCTGTATTATGCGGGGGGGGGGGGGGGGGTGTTAGGGGAGGGGGGAGGCAGGGGGGAGGGTGTAGTACCTATGCCAGGGGTCGGCAACCTTTTGAGCCGGAAGAGCCAAAAGTTACAATTTACATGAGTTCCCAGTTTTTAAAGGACCACTACCATTTTTATTTCGATATTTTGGCATTTGATTAGAATTAGATCTATACTTTTGAATTTTGATTTAAAATTGATAGTTTTAAATATGAAAGAATATTTATTCTTTAAAAGCTTACTTATATTTCGCACAAAATATGTTAAAGTATTATACCTAGCTCTGCTATGATAGAATTAGTAATTAAATAATATACCTATACGACTATCCCAATCCGCCTTTGAAGGCAATAACTTTTTTTTTCTTTCTTTAAGGACACCACCGTATCAGGAGGTGTCTCCCATAGCCCAGTTGCTCTAAACACGGTCATCTCCGATTACTGGCTTGGGTATCGGTCGCTTCTGTCTTCGGTTCTCACCGGGCTTATCTTCCTACCCACTGAACGCAGGGTAAACTCGTACCCCACCACTCAATCATAGGAAGCTAAAAGCTTAAAAAATACCCGTCACTCAGGTCATAGTAATGCATACTGACCGATAGAGAAATGCATTCTCAATCAGAATAATATTCCTCATTTAACGATATTCGAAAAAGTCGGCAGTGGCAAGAATGGAACCTTCGCCACGGGGCTGGCTTCAGCGCGGCTGTGGTGCTGGGTCTGGTGCCCAAGCGGCTGTCAGCTGTCTGTATACTCTCTACCTCACCTACTCTCATTGTTTTCTAATGATTGTTTTTATCCTGTTTAAACTTGTTTTTCTGTAAATAAAATTAATGAGTTTTAAAAATAATGAGTTTTAATGAGCTTTGAAAATAAAATAAAGTAACTATTAATATTTGTGCGTGGAACTGGAGAGCCGCATCTTGACATCAAAAGAGCCGCATGCGGCTCGCGAGCCGCAGGTTGCCAACCCCTGACCTATGCAGTTTTATTTCTAGTCCCTAAATATATTTTTTTTTAAATTTTTTAAAAATGTATTAATTTTATTTATTTTTTAATTTTTTTAAAAATAATGGGATCCAAAGAAATAAAATGTCAAAATTTCTCAGTTTTTAAAGAGCCACTACCATTATTTTTGCCAATGATGTGGTATTTAATAACGATTAAGGAAATAAACTTGAATTTTTATTTGAAATAAATAGCTCTAATATGAACTAATAAATATGAACTAATATTGATTAATATAAAAACATTTTAGCGCAAAAAGTGTTTTAGCTAACTCTGCTATGATTAAGTTAGTTATCAAATATAATAACTATAGGACAATCCCAATCCACTTTAAAGCCAATAACTTTTTTTTAATTCTTTACGGACACCACCGGCTCAGGAGGTGTCTAACCGGGCAGGCCTCAACACTGCAAACTCCGACTAAACAACTGTTTTTGGATATCGGTTTGATTATATATTGGTTGCTTCTGTCCTCCGGTTCTCACAGGGCCTATCTTCCACCCTACTCGTACCCCACAGTCCAGTACCTGGCTCAAGTGTAGGAGGCTAGTAAATAAATTACTTCGTTTCTCAGGTCAAATTAATGCATACTGACTGGCAGAGGAATGCTTTCTGAATAAAATAACTATCCAATTTAACGATATTTGAAAAAGTCGGCACTTGAGCAGTAGCAAGCAAAGAATAGTCGCCACGAGGCTGTCCACAGCACGGCTATTGGGCTGGACCTGGTGCCCAAGCGGCTGTCAGCTGTCTGTATACGCTCTACCAGAGGCGTAGCGACCCTTCCCCGCGCCCGGGGACAAGCTTTCGATTTGCACCCCCACCTCAAACTTTCGATTTGCACCGCCCCCCCCCCCCCTCATGATTTCGATTTGTACCCCCATCAAACTTTCGATTTATTTTTCCAACCCATTATTGGCGCCCCCTAAGGTCGACGCCCGGGGACATGTGTCTCCCCGCCCCTCGCTACGCTTCTGCGCTCTACTTCAACACACTCTCACTGATCTCTGATCTGTTTTTTAATCCTGTTTAAACTTGTTTTTTACAGTATAATATTGTTTATGAGTTTTTGAAAATTAAATTATGTAACTATTAATATTTGTGCAAGGAGCTGGAGAGCCGAACCTTGACATCAAAAGAGCCGCATGCGGCTCGAGAGCCGCAGGTTGCCGACCCGTAGGATAGGGACAAGATTAGATCATTTTTAAGAAGACACTGTTGCTTAATGTTGATACCCGTATCATAACCTAATCCTTCCTTTCATACAGGCTCACACTGACCACATCGTTTAATACAAGTTCGATTAAAAAAGGTAAGACGTACCTTTAGCTTCCTCGTCAGCCTTCAAGCTTTTCTTTGTACCAGAGACACGTTCATCGTATATTCCCGAAAGGGCACACAACACAGGGGCAGATGAAGTAGAGCTCATCTATTTCAATGACATCGGTGTATAATAAGCTAGTGAGGTCAGCACTATGACTAACGACCTTTGTTTTCTCTAATTTTGAGTCAAGTACCCATGAGAGCTGAGTGAACTCATGCATGTCCATCAGACTTAATTCGAAGATCCGAAATCGACTTACCTATCCGACAACATAGGGACGCATCGTATAAGCCAAAATACTGACTTGTATTCATCATTACATGCCCGAACTTACGAACTTTACGACTCTGCAATTAAAATGGTTTAGCGGTAGACATCTAGAATGCTAACCCCATAAGTCTCGAGTTCGAATCCGTAGACCGTCCCTGAATCCACCCAACTCTGATGGACACCTAACTCACATTAGGGAAAGTAAAGGCGGCTGGGCATAGTGCTGACCACACAATCTCTTCATACGCCGAGGTAACAGAAACAAGTGAACTCTACTTCACTTGCCCTATAGACCGTCAGGTTTGAAAAAAGAACTTTACTTACTTACTATTAAAATAAAACAGTTTCAACAATAAGTACTCAAAAAAAAACAAGTGCTAAGTTAAGACAAGGTAAATGTTATCAATTATTTATCAATGTATAATTCATTATCAAATCAGTACCATAAACAAACACAAAACAAAACAATTCACCGTGAAATTCACTTGAAAAGTTACATGGCACACGATGTAAAAAGTGCAAGATATTTTTTACTCCGATTCTTTTTTTACTCCTTGATTTTTACAGGAGCGTTGCTGGAATTGTCTGACGACATGGCTGGCTATACGAAAATAAGCGAAGACTTGGACCTTTCTCTGCAGGCGGTCTCGTGGATGTATCGTAAGTAGGCCAGGGTCAAGGTTTATGCTATGACACACTGCATGCTCGACAAAATTACGATTTTCTGTATCGGTGTTACCCCGTCCACTTGCGTAGAACGATGAACTTTATAAAAAAGAATAAGATATTTGATTTTATTCAATGTTCTCACTAAAATTTGGTGAATTTTTTCTTAGGTGTTGCACGTTAACACCATCCCTACTCTTTATCTAGAGAGTATATTTAATGATATAAAATACAAATATATTGCAAATGGGACATTCTTTAGAATCAATTATTTTCCTTGATATATAAATTATTTGGCGAATGAACAAATTTAATTCATTCCACAGGAGGCGCCAGCTGGAATAAGATATGCAATCCCCATGGGCTAAGCTCTTCAATTATAGAAGACAAAGGGGGATTTCAATCTGTATTTGACATAGCGCATCAGATCGGACACAAGTAAGTCGATAAATCAATGCTGTCCTTTTCAGACTTTTTTTTTTCTTTAGTGGCAGAAAATATTTCAAAACGTGTTTTTTTTTTATTTTTTTCAATTTAAATGTTGTAAAAAGTGATTTATAAGTTTATGTTAATCAGAATATTTTTCAAACAAAAATATTCACCGTAGATTCGATTTAATTAACGAAAAGACGAATCCATTTTAGAAAATAAATTAACAAAAATAATCCATAACAATTCTTGAATCGGTCAGTCTTGGGGCTCCGCACGATGGAGAAACTGAGGTATGCAATGATACTGATTACAACATCATGTCAAGCATTAAGCCAGAAAATGGACCCCTCGCTTCACAGTGGTATTTTTCCAAGTGCTCAGCGTCTGAAATCCATGCCTTTATGTCGAGAAGCGACAGGTAAATGTTGATTTTTTACTTTCTCTTATACAGAGTGTGGAGAAAGTATTGTATCGTCCACAAACATTTAATGAAATTTAGTCAGTTTTCATTGTTTTAAACATCCCTACTTCATCGAATATGGTATACGAGCCGGCCCGCGGCATAAAATACGCCGCTATTTAGTTGTTGTTTTTTGTACTTTTCAGTAATTCATAATTTGTGAATTCGACAGTACCAACGCTGCCACTGAAAATATTTCTTTAAAACACAATCAGTAGCTCGTTAAGGACCATACCCCCCTTCCTTCTCCCCCCCATACGTTTCAAATCGTTGGCTCTGCTTGTAAACATTTAGAGTGAACACAGCTCACTAAAACCATGTAGGGGTGGGGAGGTAGATGCGCGTTTGCAGCTTGTTTTCTAGCGGCTCCCAGAAGAGAATTATATATATAGAATAGATAATGAGCAATGTATTGAAATCGTGAAAAAATGTAAATTCAGATTTTGAAAAATTTTGACGCTTTACAAGCTTGCGGTTACAAAAAAAAATAAAAAACAAAAAACGTAGTAATACTGTTTTTCTCTCTCTGTGTGTGTGTGGGGGGGGGGTGTAGGGGCGCTTGTGTGTGTGTAAACACGATAACTTGAGTGCCTTTTAATTTTATGTTAAGTATAAAGTCGGTTTGTAGTTTTCTTTCAATTTTGAGCTATTTCCGGTAACCGGAAGTCGTACGTTTTCTACTTCCGGTCTCTTAAAAGCCACTAACTTAAGTATCATTAAAATTAGGAAAGACGAAATTCAACATTCTAATATTAGATTGTATGTGCAGGTTTTTTTTCAACTTTTGAACAATTTCTGATAAATGCAAATAGTAATGTACTATAAAGTTCTATATTTCCGTGGACACACGACGAATAGAGAACTGTTTCAGTTACGTAGACATTTCATATATAAGTAAAAGATATTATACCTGGATCACTTTCACGTTTCACCTGACTTCCGATACCCGGAAGAGGAAGTGGTACTTTATTCTCTTTCTGTTTTCTAAAAATAATAAAATACCAAACAACTTGAGTAAATAGTATATATAGTATAAAAATAAATGTGTTTAAGGGAGGGGGTGTATGTAAAAGTAGGTGTGATTGTGTATAAATCAATTATTTTGATTTTTTTTCTGTTTCCCAGGATCGATTGTTTGTCTAACCTAGCGACCCCACTACCGGAGTATGAGAAAACCTTACACATAGTCCCAGGACAGAAGTACCCAGCTGACCAGCAATGTCAGATGATTTACGGGAGCACGTCGCGTGTTTGTTTGGTGAGTACAGTGGTGAGACGACGTGTGTACAGTGGTGAGACGACGTGAGTACAATGGTGATACGACGTGTGTACAGCGTTGAGACTATGGGAGTACAGTGGTGAGACGACGTGAGTACAGTGGTGAGACGACGTGAGTACAGTGGTGAGACGACGTGAGTACAGTGGTGAGACGACGTGAGTACAGTGGTGAGACGACGTGTGTACAGTGGTGAGACGACGTGTGTACAGTGGTGAGACGGTGAGACGACGTTTGTACAGTGGTGAGACGACATGTGTACAGTGGTGAGACGACGTGAGTACAGTGGTGAGACGAGGTGTGTACAGTGGTGAGACGACGTGAGTACAGTGGTGAGACGAGGTGTGTACAGTGGTGAGACGACGTGAGTACAGTGGTGAGACGAGGTGTGTACAGTGGTGAGACGACGTGAGTACAGTGGTGAGACGTCGTCTGTACAGTGGTGAGACGACGTGTGTACAGTGGTGAGACAACGTGTGTACAGTGGTGAGACGACGTGAGTACAGTGGTGAGACGACGTGAGTACAGTGGTGAGACGGTGAGACGACGTGAGTACAGTGGTGAGACGACGTGAGTACAGTGGTGAGACGACGTGAGTACAGTGGTGAGACGACGTGAGTACAGTGGTGAGACGACGTGAGTACAGTGGTGAGACGGTGAGACGACGTGAGTACAGTGGTGAGACAACGTGTGTACAGTGGTGAGACGACGTGAGTACAGTGGTGAGACGACGTGAGTACAGTGGTGAGACAACGTGTGTACAGTGGTGAGACGACGTGAGTACAGTGGTGAGACGACGTGAGTACAGTGGTGAGACGGTGAGACGACGTGAGTACAGTGGTGAGACAACGTGTGTACAGTGGTGAGACGACGTGAGTACAGTGGTGAGACGACGTGAGTACAGTGGTGAGACAACGTGTGTACAGTGGTGAGACGACGTGAGTACAGTGGTGAGACGACGTGAGTACAGTGGTGAGACGGTGAGACGACGTGAGTACAGTGGAGAGACGACGTGTGTACAGTGGTGAGACGGTGAGACGACGTGAGTACAGTGGTGAGACGACGTGTGTACAGTGGTGAGACGACGTGAGTACAGTGGTGAGACGACGTGAGTACAGTGGTGAGACGACGTGAGTACAGTGGTGAGACGACGTGAGTACAGTGGTGAGACGGTGAGACGACGTGAGTACAGTGGTGAGACGACGTGTGTACAGTGGTGAGACGACGTGAGTACAGTGGTGAGACGACGTGAGTACAGTGGTGACCCGACGTGTGTACAGTGGTGAGACGACGTGTGTACAGTGGTGAGACGACGTGAGTACAGTGGTGAGACGACGTGAGTACAGTGGTGAGACGGTGAGACGACGTGAGTACAGTGGTGAGACGATGTGTATACAGTGGTGAGACCATGTGTGTACAGTGGTGAGACGACGTGAGTACAGTGGTGAGACGACGTGAGTACAGTGGTGAGACGACGTGAATACAGTGGTGAGACGACGTGAGTACAGTGGTGACCCGACGTGTGTACAGTGGTGAGACGACGTGTGTACAGTGGTGAGACGACGTGAGTACAGTGGTGAGACGACGTAAGTACAGTGGTGAGACGGTGAGACGACGTGAGTACAGTGGTGAGACGACGTGAATACAGTGGTGAGACGACGTGAATACAGTGGTGAGACGACGTGAGTACAGTGGTGAGACGACGTGAGTACAGTGGTGAGACGACGTGAATACAGTGGTGAGACGACGTGAGTACAGTGGTGAGACGACGTGAATACAGTGGTGAGACGACGTGAGTACGGTGGTGAGACGACGTGTGTACAGTGGTGAGACGACGTGTGTACAGTGGTGAGACGACGTGAGTACAGTGGTGAGACGACGTGAGTACAGTGGTGAGACGACGTGAGTACAGTGGTGACCCGACGTGTGTACAGTGGTGAGACGACGTGTGTACAGTGGTGAGACGACGTGAGTACAGTGGTGAGACGACGTGAGTACAGTGGTGAGACGGTGAGACGACGTGAGTACAGTGGTGAGACGATGTGTATACAGTGGTGAGACCATGTGAGTACAGTGGTGAGACGACGTGAGTACAGTGGTGAGACGACGTGAGTACAGTGGTGAGACGACGTGAATACAGTGGTGAGACGACGTGAGTACAGTGGTGACCCGACGTGTGTACAGTGGTGAGACGACGTGTGTACAGTGGTGAGACGACGTGAGTACAGTGGTGAGACGACGTGAGTACAGTGGTGAGACGGTGAGACGACGTGAGTACAGTGGTGAGACGACGTGAATACAGTGGTGAGACGACGTGAATACAGTGGTGAGACGACGTGAGTACAGTGGTGAGACGACGTGAATACAGTGGTGAGACGACGTGAGTACAGTGGTGAGACGACGTATATACAGTGGGAGACGACGTGAGTACAGTGGTGAGACTATGTGAGTACAGTGGTGAGACGACGTGTGTACAGTGGTGAGACGATGTGAATACAGTGGTGAGACGACGTGTGTACAGTGTTGAGACGATGTGAGTACAGTGGTGAGACGACGTGTGTACAGTGGTGGACGACGTGTGTACAGTGGTGGACGACGTGAGTACAGAGGTGAGACGACGTGTGTACAGTGGTGCGACGACTAAAATGGAGGAAAAAGAGGATAAAGAGGAAAATATCTGGGACATTATCCCCCACCCCCTTTTCAATTAGGTCAATTACCCCCTGCCATTTCCCCGAAAGTGAATTCTACGAATATGTAGTATAACAACCTAACAACCAAGGAAGAGATTGACAATAACACTAAAAAACACATGCCATAATCAAAGTATATGCATATGTTAATCAAATAAATACTAAATACGAAATATAATAAAATAAAATTAATGTTTGGCCTAGGATTAGATTTGTTAGATTTGTTTACCTTAATATTACGTGCCTTTACAGGGTCCAGGTTTGAGTTCTATTGGTGACATCTGTACCTCAATGTTCTGTCTTGACCCTGTGGCTTCCAAATCTTCCCCAACTGGAATAGAATGTAAGAAACATTTTGCTGCAGAAGGGACGTCTTGTGGAGACGGAAAGGTTGGTTATTAAACTTAGTTATTTTAGATTTTAATATGCAGCTGCTTAGCATCTAATTAAGCCACATCGCATGTTATTGTACAGGTGTTTGTCAGTCTATATGTGGGTTGGTGGGTTTTTAAATTTTGTAACTCAGTTTCGACACACGTCTAATGCAACTGTTAATTGAACATATTTTTTAATCTAATTAAATTTTAATATAATCAATACAAATCAATGTCAAGATTAATATTTTCAATAACAAAAAGGGAGATGATTGAACAATATCGATCAGGCAAGCAGTAGGTGGGGTCAGTTGTGTTCACGTCAGAGGCGTAGCTAGGGTGGAGGGGGGGTGGGGGGGGGTGCGGACCGCACCGGGTGACACCATTTAGGGGGGGTGACACTAAGGCAAAAAATAGCAAAATATATCGAGAAAAACTTGAGGGGGATGCAAATCGAAAGTTTGAGGGGGGGGGGGTATGAAAATCGAAAATTTGCGTTTGTCCCCGGGAAGGGTCGCTACGCCTGTGGGGGGGGGGGTGCAAATCGAAAGTTTGAAAGTTTGTCCCCGGGAAGGGTCACTACGCCTGTGGGGGGGGGTGGGGTGACACCATTAAGTGCCGCACCGGAAGATACCCGACCTCGCTACGCCACTGGTTCACGCTATCTTTTCACACCTGTAAGCTGATTGCTGAAGCTAATAACGGGGCTGACACTATTCTCTTGTAAATTTTTAAAAGTTCAATTAAATTTAACGTCTGTGTAAAGACAAAACTTATTTCACTATATTAACCAGCATATTCATGAAAAATATTTTCTTTCATCACACAGTGGTGTACACTTGGCACCTGCACCAGCAACCCATCAGCTCCTACCATGGGAAGTAAGTATAGGGTTCAACATATGCTGGTCTTTACGTGAATTTTGTACAGTCTAAATATCACTTTAAAACACCGACAACACGTTTTTAAATAATAACAATTAAAACAAAGCGAATCCAAATAACTTGACGTACTTGACTTAGTCCTCTTTGCTCCTTATAGAACATAGGGCCTCCACCATTTCCTTCCATTTTGTCCTATCCTCGGCTATTAATTTTGACATCTCCCAAGACATCCCTATTGGCTTCAGTTCTTCAAGAAGACTCCGCCTCCAGGTATGTCTTGGGCGCCATCTCTTCCGCTTTCCCTGGGGTTCCACTCAAGCGCTCGGCGTGTCACATTTGGGTGAGCCTTTCGCAGCGTGTGACCCACCCAGCGCCACTCCCTCCTTCTTATTTACACAGTCATACGCTCCTGGAATCCATATTACACAAGCCCGTAATCTTCTCAACATAAGACAAAAACTGACATAATATCCACATTATGTTATGTTTCTCTTTAACTTTTGATATATTAGAAACGATTTCTATTGTTTTCTTTTATTTTCATGGGTTCGAATGGGTTTGTCTCTTGAAAGGGCCTTTAATTATTTTTAAAGTTGTGTACAGCCTTATGAGATTTAAAATTATGTTAATTTTAATGGAGACAACTTCAAAATCAAACAACTGCTGCCTTGTAGTTTGTTCTTGGTTGGACAAAGACTATGGAAGCAAATCCAAAAAGAAAAGCAGGCTGAAATTGGAGTCAAAGGCCTCAATGGCGCATAACCAGTTGACACGTATACTTAATTGTGTTGGAGGGGATCCCTTCCAACAACAAAATTAAGAACGAAGAAGAAGAATGGCTATTCAAAAACGAAATTGTTAAAAACAGGTTTTTTTAATCCATACCAACCATAACAATCAGCAAATGTAGCCAACGCCATTCTAAATATTTGCTTAAGGCATTGTAAATGCGAATGTAAATTTAGTATCTCTTTTGTAGAAGGCGAATGAGAGAGGTTGTACATCTTACGAATACATCTATATGCGAGATTAGTTTTAATTGAGGCTTCATCTGAATGGGAAAGTGTTGATGATTCTTGTACTATTTCTGTTTTTAAAACAAAGTTGTAAGACAACTTTGCTTGATTACATTTAAAAAAAATTTGATATTTTCCCCAGCAGCCGTGTAGTGTTGGTGACCAGAAGGCACGGGAGTCACGTGACACTGCTGCTGGTTGAGTGGACTACATCAGCACACATTTTTTTTTACCAAGGACAAGCTTTAGGAAATATCACTTTGTGAAAATAATATTCTTTTGTTTTTCATTTTTCTCTACTTTTAAAAATTCTAATATGCATTTTCATTTAATAGCACATTGAAATGTTTTCACAAATGTTTTACTGCAAAATACTAAAACTTTTGTCAATAGCGTTTTAGACAACTTTACTAATTCGAACAATAAAACACAACTCCAACTCATTACTGGTTTTGTTGAAGGAAGTTAAAAAATGAGAGAAATGTTAAGTAGGCAGATATTAAAATATGCAGGAAGTAACAAAAATCTGTAAAATGGAGTAAAATTGATAACTTTTTTTTTTTTTCTTTTTTTTTTTCTCCCGCCTCAGACATGTAATTGTAATTTACAGCGTCAGTTGTGTGTTCGCTTTAGTATTACAGTTTTCATCATCGGCTTGTAAGGACTGATACAGATTTACAATAGTAATATTTCTTTCTTACTTGTAGCCTGCTTTCATTCATTTAAGATAGTTTACTTATACATAGATCTAATACAAAACGTCTAAACATAAAAAGATATAAATAAAAAAAAATAAAAACCGACCTGAAACTGAAAATGCAAATGTGTAATTAAATGATGATTCAAGGGATTTTTTCCCCAGCGTGGTGGGCTGAGGGGACGGGGAGGGGGGGGGGGGAGAGGGTGGAATTTGGGTGGTTTTAAGTAGAGCTGAAATAAATTTGGGATTACAGAGAATTAATATGATACAAATTTTAAGCAATCGGAAAAGTTGTGTTATTACAATGAGACACATCAAAGTAAATATTCTTCCCTTTCAAACATCTATATCTGTACAGTCCTCAAACAGTTTTTTTTTAAAAATTCAATTGTTTTAAACATTTAAATCAGTAATAATAATATATTTGCTAGATTTTACACAGCATCAAGGACATGAACATCATTTGCATATATAATAATCTAAGGGAGAAAATAACATGGCGTAAGAACTAGACTAAAATAAGGTGTGCAAACTAGGTTTCTCTTGACTGCTTAGTTTACTGTGCTCCGTCCTTAGCTGCGGTGTCAAAAGTTCACATTGTAGCCACCCATGGACAGAAATAGAAACGACCGTGGGAGAAGTGTCTCTGTAATACACATACTGATCTATCATTCCAAAACTTTCCATGACATAGAATTGACCCTTGGCGATGAGGGCACGCTACCTTGAAATATCCACCAGTCCGGTTGAGTGGGGGGGGGGGGGGTGATGTTTGGCTTGAGACTGTCTAAATTAAAAGTAATACTTTACTTATTTCTTTCCTGTAAATTTTTTGTCTCAGTTAAGTGAGAATTCCCAGTCTATGCCTTAGCTTTACTTGAACTATTTCTTTTAACTCGATGTCCGTGTATTTTGTAAAAAAAATATCTGCTAAAAGTATCGTCTTGTTTTTATATTCGATATTTACACGTTCATTAAGCGTGTGGTAAAAATGTTTTTGTTCTTGTCTATGTGTTGGGGCGTAAATATTGATGATTGTTATTTCTGTTTTGTCAATATCCAATGTGATGCATGCTATCCGGCCCTGTTTATCCGTGTATATACTTTTAATTTTGTGTTTGTCAGATGTACAAAGTGTACTGGTTCCTGTGCAGTTGAAACCAGTACAGTGCAGTGAGTTTTTAATACTGATATATGCATCTAGTTTATTCGCTTCTTCTGTAGTTTCAATGTAAGTTTCCTGTAAAAGTAGGATGTCAATATTGTGTTTATTTATTATGTTGTTTATATAAAGTGTTTTGTCCCTAGCCCCTCTGATGTTCAATGTTGCCAGAGTTAGCATGAATTATTTGGGGTTTTCTTTCGAACATCTGTTTCTGGAGGGCTGGATGGTGGTGGTCTTTTAACGCCAAACTTTCCAACCGCTGGTTTGCTATCCCGTTGGGCCCTGGTCACGACCCTTAGAGGTGGCTTTACTGTAGGTAGTTGTTTTTTACTTGAACTGATTGCTTGACTATATGAAAATTTACATGATACCTTTGTTGCTAATATACTTTGTGAGCTTTTAATTTCCTTTAGCGGTTTCGTTATGTTTTCCGAACTGGTGTTATCTTGAAGAATATCATTTATTGTTTCGCCGACTGCCTCCAAATTTTCTTGATCCCCATCTTTTTGAGACCCTGTTACTATGGAATTTCTGGTCGCTATTGTCTCCATGGCTTCGGCCTCTATGGTGGTTTCTGCTACGCTTTCGTGAACTTGCTGTGATGCTGCAGTAGTATGATGTGTTTCAGTTTGGCCATCTACTTCAAAGGCATCTTCTACCTCTATATGCCTTGCTTCTCTAAGCATTTCATTTTGTCTTTCTCCGTCAACATCATAACTGTCCCAATGCTTTAAGAAATTTCTATTGTTACTTGGATGCTCCCTAACTTCTTCTTTATCATTTGCATACCAAGGCTCAATTGCCTTGTACTGTCCATCTACTAGCTGGACGCCGTCAAGAGCGCGAGTCCTCAAATGCTCACACATTTTAGGCAGGTGCCTGTCTGTGTTGCAGTGGCAACATTGCACCCTCCTCCCATTGAGGATTATAAGGACTCTGCTCTCCTTGTTGGCCTCATTTATAAGTATAATATAGTGTGGCATACTCTCCACGTCTTCTTTCTCCAGAGAGATGGTGAATTGGACCACATTTGGTTGGTCTATTCTCTTAAATGTTGGTGTTGAGTCCTGACTGCTTATAGATTTCAGAATCGCCATTATATCATCGTCGCTTGTCCTGGAAGGCAGCCATTTCAGCATGCCCCTTTGCCCAGATTTATCGGCGTGGGTTATTGATATTCTCTGCACTCTGTATCTGGATGTTACCCCAGGTGGCAAATCTCTGTGAAATTCTTTTAGGTGTATTTTCTCATATAGTTTCTTTGATCTAATGGTGACATACCATTTACGCAGTGTCCCATAGTTATACAGACCTTCAAATTCAGCTGGTGATAGACTACATAACATACATAGCTCTCTTTTTAGTTCGTCAGCTGTGAGGGTAGCTAAAGAAAAACCCTCTTCTATGAAAATCTCTAGAGTTTTTGGCGCATGTCCTGCCATGCCGAACTTAGGCAGGAATAGCCGTTTGATGTATTTTTCCGACATAGTTGTGCGTGAGGTCCACCCGGGGCCAGGCAACACACACAAGAAATAAAAAAAAGAAAAAGTACTTACAATGTATAAAATGTGAAAAATACAATAACACACACACATAAGATTCCAAATGGAAATACACACAAGTTTAAATAATGGAAATAAGCTGTAACGAGCAGTGGAATCTAATTATAAACTATCTTGATCCATTAATTTGTAAGACCTTTATTGTGTAATTACCCAGGCTCGTTATTTTCCTTACTCATTAGTTTAAGGCATCGATAACAATTGTTTTAGTTGAGAATAGATGACATTTACAAATAAGTAATAGTTTACAAAAAAGATTTTCATTAAAAAGAAAAAAAATTACATTTTTTGTGGTGTTTAACACTTACCAAAAATGGTTAAATATAAAAAAGATTAGATTTTAAGTTTCTAAAATTGAAACCAAGCTGTAAACTCCCTCTCACCATTGTTACACAAATTCCATACGTGATGTTATTTATGCATGATTTCCTGATATAATAATTTTTTTCCTTTTGTTACGGAAATCACCGGCCCAGGAGTTGTCTCCCATTAAACAGGCACGCCTCAAGACGACAACTCCAACTAATACAAAAACTATACACTATATGTAGCTAAATCCCCAATCCGAAAAAAAAACCCATCATATTTTACACAGTATTTGGAACCCGATTCGCGATAAAGTTGTTTTATATAACATTTCTCATACAACAAGTTTCATATGTAACACAAAAAAACAGCATGCTAAACCACCATTACTGCAACTTATATCGAGCTTATATGAATTCTTGTACGTTATTGAGTCATTGATAAAAAAAACAGCTGCATTTTGTACTCGAGGAAATATAATCAGCAAACACTTATTAATGATATAGAATGATATAGAATCCCATTATGAAGACTAGGTTGAATATTTTAATGATTCTATTCAGTGTTATTAAAACATTTGTGATTACGAAAAAAATATTGTGTTTTTCATTTCACTTGTGTAAACAGTCTCTTAACTATTTGATGTTATTAATATTTTAGGTAACTATTACATTCAATAACGAGGGCCCCTCCCATTAAAAGGGACGCGCTCCACGACTTCATTGTATGATTGCAAGTAAAAGTATATTTCATTCAACGGCTCTTTCTTTACTTATTCAAACAGAAATGTTTTTGGAAAATTCTTAGAATTAAAAAAAAAAAGATCGGGTAGATGAGGCTCGTTAGCTGGGGACAGCCACTCTTCTAGGAGAGACAACTCCATAATCAAACAACTGCTGCCTTGTAGTTTGTTCTTGGTTGGACAAAGGCTATGGGAGCAAATCCAAAAAGAAAAGCAGGCTGAAATCGGAGTCAAAGGCCTCAATGGCGCATAACCAGTTGACACGTAATCCTTAATTGTGATGGAGGCGTGGTCGAGTCGGCAAAAGCTCATGGTTGATAAATTCGAAAAAAAAGTCTCGAATTCAAACCCTCTTGCAGATAAGGCTCGATCACTTCCAACACTAAAAATTAAGAACGAAGAAGAAGAAGAAAAAAATTAAAAAAGAAGCATAAAGGTCCATCACATTTTTAAAATAATTATTTTGCACCCCATTTTCCTGGTATGTATATTACATTATGATGGGAAAACCCAAAGCCACAAAAAGATACTTTTTCAGGCTGTACATCCCACGGGGTAATATAAAGAAAGGTTTGTTTGCTTTAGATCTCAGCAAATATGTTTTCAGCCTCATACAATACCAACTGAATTGAAATTTTTTTTAGGCTGGTACATTTACTTAATCATAGCACAGGAATGTAACTATAAGTCAGTGGTTCTCAAACCAATTCGGTAGATCGTCTTAATGTTTAAAGAGCTCTATTCTTGTTCTGCTTCGTTTTGATTTTTAATGTTGGAAGGGATTTCCAATAACATAATTAAGTATTACGTATCACTTGTTAAGCGCCAAGAAGTGTCTTAATTTTTATTATATTTCAGTTACTTTAAAATACATTTTTACTTCTTTCATATTTCTAGTTAAAAGATAATGTTCCATTTAAAGCACCAAGTGCCTCAGAGGCGTAGCGAGGGGGGGGGGCGGGGGCACACATGTCCCCGGGCGCCGACCTTAGGGAGGGGGGGGGGGCGCCAAAATGGGTTGGAAAAACAAATTGAAAGTTTGACGGGGGGGGGGGTGCAAATGAAAAGTTCGATGGGGGGGGGGGTGCAAATCGAAAGTTTGAGGGGAGGGGGTGCAAATGGAAAGTTCGAGGGAGGGGGGTGCAAATCGAAAGTTCGAGGGGGGGGGGTGCAATTCGAAAGTTTGTCCCCGAGCGCCGGGGAAGGGTCGCTACGCCTCTGAAGTGCCACCAGATAAATGCCAGATATTTGTTGTAAGAAATGTTTCAAGACCTGCTTCTTTCAGTTCAAAACCCAATTCAGTTTCCTTGCCTAATGTCGTTTCCATGAAATATATTAGCTGGTCGTAAAAAATATTGGTCACGAAGATCTTGATAAATAATTTATTTTTCTATTCAACATTTTATAACCAAACCAAGTGTGCTCAGATCCGTTTGACTAGACCAAATATTATGCTACCTGCAGACCCACCTTTGAACAAAACAAACTCAACCCGTGGACGTTTTAGCTTCCTATTTTTTCGATGCGAAACACCCTTAGATCGAACAGTCATTCTAACAATATTTAAAACAATCAAAGAAACAAAAAAAGTCTAATGCAATGTTCACATCATCGCTGAGGCGTAGCGAGAGGGGGGGGGGGGGGGTTGGCGGGGGGTGCATATGTCCCCGGGCGCCGACCTAAGGGAGGGGGGGGGGCGCCAAAATGGGTTGGAAAAAACAAATTGAAAGTTTGAGGAGGGGGGGAATGTTTGTCCCCGGGCTCCGGGAAGGGTCGCTACGCCTCTGCATCATCGTGAGAGGGGCGGGTCTGGCATGGTATGTTTAATTATAGGTCGGGAGGGGGGGGGACGAAAAAAACCGATGAAGTTTCGTGCCGTTATTACTTGCCCCACCTATCATAACAGTTTTCCTGAAAAACCTGTCTCCAACGTCATTTTCCAACGTCAGACTCTGGTTTGTGTACATACCCTCAGTTCTTTACAAACGCGATACGCAGCCTCCTTACAGTTCTATATAGAGGAAAACCAACATGTAAGTTAATTCAGTTCCTGGTAGCGAAAATATTAATGCTTACCCATAATTAATATACAACTTGCATAGTTATTCACTTACAGGTAATAGTGAGTAATATTACATAATGTTATAATTGCATTATTCTGTGTAATATACATTTATACCGTTAACTCTTTTTTAGCTAATGTAAGAGTTTAATATTGAGCTAAAAAATAATATTTCTACTGAGTTAAAAATTATCTTTTTATAATATTGTTGAAAAATAGAGTGATGTTTCAATTTAAAAGAACGGATGTGTTACAATGTATGAATGCAAATACTTAACAAAACATCTACTAGCAGCATAGATTAACGGCAGTGACACGTCAAATGTTTTTTATGAAGATGAGCAATAACATAGTTCTATTTTTGCTAACAGGTAAGTTATTGTCTTTTTTTTCTACAGAAATTTCTTCACGTTTAAATTTTCTTATTTGAAGTGCTATTAAATGTTGTTAAAAATAAACAATAAAAATTCTTTGTTGAAGTATCATGTAACTTATAACTTTAATTTTTTTTAACAACCTGTTATCAAAGAAATTATTTCACCACCAGTTCTAAACATCTGTCCCTAGATTCAAATATTCGTGTAGCTGGTAGGCCTGTAGTCAGCGATGATATTAGCACTCAATTTTAACTCAAGCCGTAGCTTCAACTCTAACATAACCTAAATCCTCACACAAAGCACACCATAATAGTTGAACTATCGTTAGTGGCAAGCTGGCTATTTGAATATTCGGTGGGTCGGGCTGGTAAAGCTAATGGTTGCTAAACCGAAAAGCCCTGAGTTCGAACCCCCAAGCAGATGAGGCTCAATAGCTATGAACAGCAACCCATCTTGGAGAGACAACTCAAAAATCAAACAACTGCTGCATTGTAGTATGCTCTTGGTTGGACAAAGGCTGTGGAAGCAAATCCAGAAAGAAAAACTGAAATCGGAGCGAATGCTTAATATGGCACATAACAAATTGACACATATTACTTAATCATGTTGGAGGAAATCCTTTCAAACATTAACATTCAGAAAGTAAAGAAGAATATTTGGGTAGGGCTAATCAATTAGATATTGTATGCACATTTTGGAATAAAATTTGACGCTACTCTGGTCTCCACAGTAACCTGTTTATCCACCATCTACTGCGAGTCTGTAAGAAACAAGAAGGACTCTACCGACAAGTTTATCATTGAAACTAAAGTTTTTACGGACGTGGCGATGTATAAAAGGTAACATAACATCATCTTCGTACGATGCAGGAACCATAACTCGTTAGTTTGGGGTTTTAGTTATTAGCTTTACCTACAAATAAATAAAATCACTTTCTGCAGATGGTATTCGTGGACAAGCGATACGACAGCGGAGAAAAATGAAAGTCAACTTCACTATCTAACACAGAGCGTGATTAAAGAATACGTTTCTCTGTGTTTTCATCAGGTTGTATTTTAATGTATGTTTACATAGCTCGTTTGTTAATACTAGGCAACCCTGTTATCCGTTGGAAAACCGCCCCGCTGTAGCAAAGCGCATTCAAATACGCGCACCTGTACCATGCCACCGAACATATGCTACCACACCACGACAACTCTCTCTAGGTATCTAAAATTAGTTCAGTGGGGTTAGTGACCGTAGAGATTAAAGTGGAAATAAAAATGTTATCTATGAGCAATTTTGGGAACAAAAAAAGAAAAACTGCATATGCCTGTGTCTGTGTCTGTGTCCATGCCCAGGTCCAGGTCCAGGTCCAGGTCCAGGTCCATGTCTAAGTCTAGGTCAAGGTAAAGGTCTATAGGTTAAGGTCAAAGTCTAGTTATGTTTTTGTCTATATGTGTGCATGTATGTGTGCGCGCGTATTTCTATTGTTATAATTTATTGTTCGTTTTAACTATGTTCTCAGACTAATGCTAGATTTCTCACATTAAACCCTACTTTAAACTTCGTAGTGGAAATTCGGCTGTCGTCAATCGAATTTAACTATGTAAGTAAATGTAGTTATTATATGTTAGGTCTGATTTTAGTTAAATACGTACGTAAATGATAAATCGCATTTATATTAAATGAGTAGGCCTGCGTGTGAAGATTTATTTAAATTAGACAAAAAAGGTAAACTTAAGACCTGAGTGGTTAAGATAAGTAACATTACATCTCACATTCATTATTTGTATTTATTAAATGTATAAAGCAAGTTTTAAACATTAATTCTTCAAAAGTAATTGATATAAGGATATAAAGAATATGTTTTCAAATATAAATCAGGAATTTTAAATTCGTATTACAATAAATTATAACTTTTGAAAGATGTTATTAAATTTAAAAATACATTTCAGACTAATTACGATGACCCTGGGATCTCAGACATTGATGAGAAGCTTGCGATATTTTCTAATTTTTTAGCACAAAACATTAAAACAAATGGAATCTATGACCACGCTATGCTTATGACCTCGTAAGTTTAAGACAAGTCCTGTATAGGGCTGGTAAGTAGATCACCAACCAGTTCTACGGCTCAATAAAACCTGCATGAGCCATAGAACTGGTTGGTGACCTACTTACCAGCCCTATACAACGTATGATCTTTGTTTGCTAGATGCTTAAGCAAGTTGACACGTAATACTTAATTGTTTTGGAGGAAATCCCTTCCAACATAACAGTTAAGAACAAAGAAGAAGAAGAAAAAGGGTTAAACCTACAACCGCGGTTAGTGTTAGGCAGCGAAACTTATGTTGTAATACTAATTGGTCTTTCCCAATCTTTGATACAGGATCCCATTGACGTGTTCTTGTAACACAAGTTTGATCAAAAAAGGTAACAACCCCAACGCCAGATTTAGATTTACTTACCCATAGCAGTACCAGTGTCGTAGCCAGGTTTCATACATTATACATTATATATATATATATATATATATATATATATATATATATATATATATATATATATATATATATATATATATATACGATGGCTTAAATTAGTAACATTAAGAGCTTTGTATGTTATTCTGCAGGAACCGCGAACTGGAATAGCATGTGTAGAGAAAATGGACTGAGTTCTACAGTTATAGAGGACAGAGGGGGATTTCAGTCTAGTTATGACATAGCACAACAAATTGCTACTAAGTACGTTGTAAACAGTGTTTCTACCAGATTTTTTTTCTCCGGGGGGTGGGGGCACTTGAAATTTTCTGGGGGGGGGGGGACTAAAATTTCCGGGGTGGGGACGAACACTGCTAAAAGTATATGTTTTAGATAAATTCCATTTAGTTCGGGGGGCTATCTTCCCCCCCCCCCCCCCTCTCCGGAAGAGATGCCTGGAAGAAACTCGAGTTGTAAAAACTGTTTGATTCATTTTTTAAAAAAAATTAGAAGCGTAGAATGTTTTTAAAAAGGGGTTTCAGTCTTTTAATTAAAATGCTTGAAAATAATGATTTAAACTCTTATATCAGTCAAAAAAGTTTCAGATAGCGGTTTTCATTTTAAATTCTATTAACATGAAGTACTGCGCTGTTTTGTTTCGACTTAGCGAACTTAATATTTCAATTTAGAAATGTTTAACAATAATGGATGTCCGTTACTGATTCTGTTAGTCTTGGGGTAACGTTCGATGGTGATGATAACGACTGCAATGAAACTGACTACAACACGATGTCACACTTACAGCCCAAAAATGGATTCCTACCTTCACAGTGGCACTTTTCAGAGTGCTCAGCCAGTGGATTTGAAGAACTCACATGGACTACTTATCTGTAAGTGGTTTTCGGCCTTTCGTTATTTTCAGCGGGTCGGCGTGGTCGAGTCGGTAAACTCCAAAATCAAACAGCTGCTGCCTTGTAGCTTGTTCTTGGTTGGACAAAGGCTATGGAAGCAAATCCAAAAAGAAAAGCAGGCTGAAATCGGAGTCAATGGCCTCAATGGCGCATAACCAGTTAACACGTAATCCTTAATTGTAATGGAAGCATGGTCGAGTCGGCAAAGCTCATGTTTGATAAATTCGAAGAAAAAAAGACTCAGAGTTTAAACCCTGGCAGATAAGTCTCGATCCCTCCCAACACTAAAAATTAAGAACAAAGAAGAAGAAGTTATTTTCAGGCTGTAAATATATTTTTCACGAATCTCGTTATTTTACGCCAGCATGAGTGTGAACAATTTAGTTTTACAATGTTGTATGTTTTTCTGTGTCAGTGTGTCTGTCTTTTTGTCTGTAAATACGATAACTTGAGTACGATTTCAGTTATATTAACGAAATTGCACATATAGGTATTATATAAAATTTGTAGTTTCTGATTACTTTTATTCGATACTACTGTTATGAAAATGAATCCATTTTTTTCTAGGAATATAACCGACAATTTATAAAGTGGCAAATAGCTGTATACAAATCAACACAAAAATGCTAAACATATTATTTTCATTCCCCTTCGTACTTTATTGTTCCTCTAGTAGTGCCAACACAATTGCGGGTAATAAGTACCGCTTTGAAAAATTTGAATTTTCTCTTCACAGCAGTGATTGTTTAAGGAACAAACGCCCACCGCTACAGGAATTTGCAAGCACCTCAACGATAGTCCCGGGACAGAAATATTCAGCCAACCAGCAATGTCAGATGATGTACGGTAACACCTCACATGTTTGTTTGGTGAGCTCATTCGGATTTCTTGTTAGTAACTTATAAACAGTTAGTTTGTATTAAAAGTAACGAATAATGCTGTCATACTAGAATTCATAACATTAATAGATTTATAGAAAAACAGCATACGACATGTTATGAAACAATATTTATATTACAATGGGAATATTTCAAAAGCTAAGTAAATTGTCTGCATCGCTGCAAAATGAAGAAAAAATGTTACAATATTTCTATACAATGGGATTAAGATTAAATTTGTAATTCTTATTACCGAACATGATGGTATACATAAATCTTACGTTTCTATATCTATACACAGGGTTCACATTTCAGTGAAATTAGCGACATCTGTACCTCAATGTACTGTCTTGACCCTGTGGCTTCCAAATCTTCAGCAACTGGAATAGAATGTAAGAAACATTTTGCTGCGGAAGGGACGTCTTGTGGAGACGGGAAGGTTGGAATAAAACTGAATACACTTCATGAAAATTATGCTACAGACATAATTTCCATGTCTTGATTATTAAATATGGGTTTAAATGTTAATATTCTTTCTGTTTTTCAAACTGAGAAGTTTGTAAGGTGTCAAATTATCTATTGTTGTTTAATTTTTTTTTCGTCCTTGATTGTATTTTTAAATGGATTCCCTCGACCACCAATGAGTATTATCTGACAAAATGTTAAGCGTCATATGGTTTATTGACTTTTACTTCAGCTTTCCATAACCTTTATTCTTCTAAGAACAAACTACAAAGCAGCTGTTGTTTAATTTTAGATTTTTCTCAGCTAGATGGATTTATGTCCCCAGTTAACAAACTCTTCTGCCCTATGGGGTGGGGGAGGGGGGGGGGGTTGAGGGGTGGGGGGGGGGTTGTGGTCTGAACTCTTCTTCCCTACCACGACCTCCACGTTTAAGGTTTTAATTATCTCTGGGTCTGTTACTAAAAACTAACCGTATTTTACATTTAAACATAACCCAAGATGTATTTAACATATTAAATGTCGTCTCGCAGTGGTGTAAACTTGGCACATGTACCAGCAACCCATTAGCTCCAGCTATTGGAAGTAAGTACAGCGTTCATCATTTGCATACGCTTGTCTTTAGAGCTCACTTTAGAGCTCACGCTATTATA